CCCTTACACTGCAGGGGTTAAGTGCTTATTTCGGTCTGCAGTGTAAAATTAAAAAAAAGATATCCTCACCCGACCTTTGGTCTCACAGTGGCGACCGCTCACCTCCCTCCCTCTCCACTTTGGCTGTGAAATGTCCCTCTGCATTCTCAGGTCCAATGCAATTAAATGGACGTGATAATGTCACAGGTCCCTAGACCGTTGGAGAGCGGAGGTGAATAGGCTGCGGGGACCAGTCTAGCAGCCAGATGGAACCGAGGATCAGGTGGGCATATCTATTTCTTTTTTCAACTCCACTCCTCTTCCCTAAACTTCCTGTCCAGTACAAGATCACAAGGGACAGCACGGTCTGCAGCTGCTGTCCAACTACTAGCTTAGAAAAGGAAGGAGGAGTGGGGGAAGGAAAGTGACTTGCCTTGCTGTGTCTGTGTGTTTGTGAAGAGACACATCTTACTAGCACACACAAGGGTGTCTCCATAGGACCCTGCAAGAGAAAGGAGCCATCCAAAAACAGGATATCAGGGCCAGTACTCGGGGGACGAGCTGATTCTGCAGGAAACTAAAACTTTAAAACATGGAGCAGCATCTATTATAAGTGATTTCATCTGCATTTGAAAAAAATTTTGACTATTTTAATCGACTTAATCGATTAACTGTTGCAGCTCTACTTTAATATCACTTTAACCCTTGTAGTACATTGGTAGCCCCACTGCAAGGGTACATTTTTATTCTGCCCGCAGTTGTTCTTATGTTACAATATTTTTTCATCTTGTATACATGTAGCCCATTCCCATCTACATTTTTTTTTTTTAGCTGCGTTGTTCCTGGTTTAAAAATTTCTGCCTGCGTAACGCCTTGCATGTAATCTTCTTCATTGTTATTGTTGTTAATTCAAGAATGTATATTTTATTTGGTCTTTTGGTTGATAGTATTGTTGAATTACAAATCAATTTCCTAAGAATTCTGTTTATTTTCATTGAGTAATTCTTCAGTCTTTACTTTGGCACTTTCTGGAACGTGAACCAATTTCCTTGCATTGTTAAACAGACATTGCCTGCACTGTGTCAGTTACACTGAGACAAACGTGATGTATAGTTCTAACCTCCAGACATGATATTTATTGTACAGGTAATTACAGTATTCAAGTAGACCTGTCACAGATGATGGCAGTGAAAAGCACGGAGCAAAACAAACAGAAGACCTAGCTGTATAGGTAACTAGAAATATGCAGGTATTCAACCCTGCTGTCATTTTTGAGCTTGGCCCTGCCCGTGTGCCTCCTTGACCAGTTTGGTGGGTAGAGGTGGGAGCAGTGTGGTTAGCACGCACACACTGTTGTCGACACTGCTGAAGTGTCCTTATATTGTAAAGCGCTGCGCAAACTGTTGGCGCTATATAAATCCTGTATAGTAATAATAAAACATCTCACATCAGGCTATGGAAAGCTAAGGTTTTTGTTTTCTTCTACATTATAAACCATAAGTCCTCATTTCCTCAGACACATTTTTTAAAGCTGAACTGCAGCTTCTGCTGTTCTAAATTATCTTATTTTTTATTTCTCTTCTAACGGAGCTTCTCAACGTGTGCATTAGAATTTGCAGCAACCAGATCAAGCCTGCGTCATTTCCTGGCTGGAGGGTGTCCAGCATCATATAGCTCTTTCTTCCCCAGGTAGCCCCGCTGCAAGGGTTAAGGTTTTATTTGCTCAGTGTTCTTTAACTCTTCCCAAGAGCCAGGGCATTGCTTGCATCTGGCCTGAGGGCTCTTGAGATGAGTACTGAGGTAAGGTGCTGTGATGTTTTTAGGAAGCTATGTACAGCACCCTGCTGGCTCCTCCCAATAGCCATGATCTGCCTACATTGCATAGAGAAGCATAGAGACCCAATAATGACATCACTGAGTCTAAAAAAAAAGGGGGGAGGTAAAAATTAGGGATGCACCGATACCGGTATTTCGGTATCAAGTACGAGTATCGATATTTTTTTTCCAGTACTCTGTTTGTGTCCTCCCGTTACCCTAAGGAGAACTATGGGGAAAAGCCTTAACCCCATAGTTCTCCTTTAAGGAAGCCAGGCAGAATGTAATTACTGGCCACCTGGCTTCCTGATTAGCCGGGCAGCATGTTTAGACTCTCCACCCGGCTTCCCGATTAGCAAGGAAACCGTCTCCATGCTTCTCATCACTAGATGACAAGAAAGCATGGAGCCAGCTTTCTGGCCAATCAGGAAGCTGGGCGCCATGTAATGACGTGGCACTCGGCTTCCTGATTGGCCAGGAAGCCGGCTCCATGCTCCTTCGTCACCAGGTGATGAAGGAGCATGAAGCCTGCTTCCTGACCAATCAGAGAGCCGGGAGTTGCGTCATTACACGGTGCCCAGCTTCCTGATTGGCCAGCTTCCCGACCAACCAGGAAACCGGGCAGCTACTCGCCCAAATACTCAGCACCGATACTAGTAGAAGCCAGGGAAGACAAAATATAAGCAGATTAAACTTTAACCTAGTTTACCTATAGATCAGCCATAATATGTCAGCTTGCAAAAATCTGCACTCTTCGTACAAGAAGAATGCAATAATAAAGCCACAGTGATAAACTGTGTGTGTGTGTGTGTGTGTGTGTGTGTTTTTTTTTTATCTATCTTTAACCCCATTTGGAAATTATACACTCGCCTCCTGCTACTGGCAGCTCTCAATGTAAGGTGTACATGGAAGGGCGTTCCACAGTACAAACACAAAAATGGTAAATAAGAGGAACTATCACCAGCAGGGACACAGCCATCAACCAATGCCTGACGGTTTCCATTCTACCCAAAATTAAAAAGGTTTTGGCTAAAGTTGGTCTTTGGACTCCATCCCCCCAGAATTTTTGTTGGGCTGCTGAGACCCATTCTAACTTCTCTATTATGTAGACTGTTTATGTACATCCAGAAAACCCATGCCTGCCATAGAAAGGACCAGAGGATCAAAACAAAAGTGATGAAACATCAAAAAGGGAAGAAAAGGAAAGATGAAGGATGCACATCCATTGTAATGCTAGTAGATAATGTTATAAAGGTGACCAAATGACATGTTATTATGTCAGTCATAGCAGGACTCCTGATCCTTTGAGGTGGAAGGGCTTTAGATTAGCATGTGTGGCCATTACAAAAACAGTTTGCTATGACTTTGTAGACACTTTAATAAGGAAATTTAGGATCATTCCTGGTGGATCAGGTCACTGATGATTGACAGGGTGTTGCTTGAAGAACGTACTATTAGTTGTCACTTTGAATAGGGTTAGAACTTTGTGTTTGCAATTTTCTGATGTTCCTTTTATCTTTTAGGAGACGCCTTCTGTGTAGCTTGTCATCTGTTTGGATCTCCAACCCCTGACCCTTGTGTCACTGGCATGTCATATTTGGGCTCCTAATTAGAGAGTCTGTAGAGGCCACTTTTCTGGCTCTCTAACCTTCCAGTGGCTGCTGCTAGCTGCAAATTCTGTCATATTTGTCACACATGAAAACATAGGTTTATCATATTGTTTGTGTAGGTTGTGAATGGGACAAAGCACCCAGCTGAGACCAGAGATAAATATACAGATTACAGAGGAATTAACATGTCAACTAAACATGCCAGTGTTATTATGCTTTTGTCATTACAATGCACATTTATTGAGTTATTTAACACTTAAAGCAGTGGAACACCAAACCTTTGGCAGAGATTCTTCTACATAATCAAGCTGCTTGTTTTTAGTTGATTGTGAGTGTAGTTAATTTATTGGTATCTATCTATACAGTAAGATGAACTGTGTCAATTATCAGTGTTTTTCCTGACTCTAGTAAGTTTGGAATGCATTTGTGTTTACAATCATAGTTCTACACCTACCTTTCTGTTCTATCACAGATATGTACAGTATATGGATGTGGTCCTCCGAAAGAGTCCCGCAATAACAAAATAATATTTGGGGTGTGAGTGGAGAAGCTCTCTTTAACATGACTATCTCCAGTTGCATTTGTTTTTGTAAAATAAAAAAATCGAAGTAAAAATATTAGTAATGGTTTCTTATAAATACCCTCATTCAGGGATATATTTACATTACAAGATGTTGCAGTAGATAACAATGTGGCCTCCAAGTAAGGCTAAAATAATTGCAGTACTGGTGTTTACCAGTAGGGGCTGCTGCAGGTGAAACCTGGAAATGAAGCGCTCAGTCCCCGTAAGGCATCGTTCACACAGGATGCAGTCTCCACCGCCCTCTGAAAAGCGGTCCACAGTGAATTGCTTTTCAGAGGGGGTGTTGCACGGCTACTCGGGGTTCAGGAGGCGATACTGCTGCCTCCTGAATGCAGGTGTTTGTTTTTTTGTGGTTTTTTTTGTCCCAATGGGATCGTCTGCTGAAGTAACAGGTGGTGTCACTTGTCAATTGCAACAATTGAAATAAATGGGTCTGCACTGCAACTGCATTTGCATTGTGTTCCCATTCTTTTCAGTTAATGCGCTAGTGACCCCGCCTGTCAAATGCGACATGTACATTTATGGCTGCTATGCACAGCATTGTGGCTGCAGCCATGCATACAGCATTGGGTAGCTTGGATAGGGAGTGGTAAAACTGCCAGTGGGTAGCTGGGGTAGGAAGTGGTAAAACTGCACATTAACCAGACGGTTTTACCACCCCTTCACCACCTGTGTGTACGAGGCCAAAGATGAGAGGTTCCAACTAAGGAAGTATCTGTTGAGTCAGAAGCAGCAATTTCCTTTTTAGCTTGTTATTCTTAGTGATTGATTTTATTGTAATAATAAAATAATCGCTAGTTAAAGAGGTTATTAAAAGTTGAATCACAGACTTACAATGAAGATATTTTTAAAGTATGGTGTACTTTTATATCCATAATAATAACTTATGCTTTTTTTTCTAATTTGCCAATACCGTGCTTTTTCTTTATGTTCTGTGAAGTTAGATTTCACATAAGGTTTGATCATTAATGGACAATGTTCGATAATTAACTGACTTCATATTCTAATTTCAGGTTTTTAGAATAGAGGTCCTTGTGAATGGAAGAAGACATTTTGTGGAGAAGAGGTACAGTGAATTCCACGCACTCCATAAAAAGGTAATTACAAAACATATATTTCTTGTTTTTATTTTGCATGTTAACTGTGCCGAAATTCACCTTTTTTTTTAAAATAAATTCTTTATTTAAGTATTTTTTCACATTTTTATCCAAGTCGTACAAAAAAATGTTTAAATAGCACTCATGGATAAGAGATTGAGCCATGTACAATATAGCATCAATTATGCCAACAAACATTACATCATATTACAACATATAGAGTGATTTCAACAGGTATGGAGCGACCCTTTGCAATGAGAACGTGGGCAGAGGGTGCCAGGGCTCCCCCACGGATGGGGGTGCAGAATTCCTGGGGTGCCCCCTGTCCGGGCAGTGGTAGCGTGAGTCGCGATAGCTGGAAAACTGGGTTTGGGTAATTCGGTATCCCATGATCATTGTGAGAGCGTGGTGAGGTTTTACTACACAAATGGACAGGGTAACCGTGGGAAGGTGGGGGCATCATGGAAGCTATCGACTCGAAATTCACCTTTTGAGGCACTGTTCAAACATCCACGTTTTAGTACCAAATGTCAGAATGCAAAACGATGCCTATGTCCGGGAAACACATGCTAAAAAGCAGCCCGTTCAGATTTATGCTTTGTATTTTGAAAAATAAGGCATGTCCATTTTTCTTTGAATTTTTATGCGCTGTTAGGATCATAGAAGTCTATGGCAATGCATAAAAATCCATGCCTAGTACCTTTTAATGAATTTCCATGCTTTTTCAGTATCCAGGGGGCTAAACTCTTATATATACACATTAAAGCTTCAAACACTCTCCGGAACGTATAATGAAAACACACAAAAAAAGTACACAAAAAGATGTAAGTCAGGCCTAAAATATCTGGAGGTATAGCTGGTGCACTGGCAACTGGGTCATGCATCCTTAGCTAGGTAGCCATCTGGTGTCTCTACAAAATCCAATGAAAGTCCCAAACAAAAGGTTCAGGAATCTAGATTCCTACTAGAACTAATTCACAACAAGATAACACAAAAGAGTTAATGCATTTCAGGAGCCAAAACAATCTCCCCCATCTTCAGGGCTACAAGACTGAGATAAGAATGAGCATATAGATCTATAATTGATTACATATGTATAATCTATAATATAGTTTATAAACACAAAAATCATAATTTTTTATAGGGAGAAAAACATTTTTTTTAAACCTATTCAGATTAAATTGGACATTAAATCTTTTGTTGAAAAATAAAATGAGTGTAATAATTATAAAGCCTTAATGAATGAAACCCTAATTTATTAATAATGAAGCCTTAATGGTAGCAGAGCAACTCTTGCTCACAGAATAAAAACAAACTACTAAACCGTTAAAGATCCAGTGGTTATAGAAGGTCAGTGATATTTTGAAGGAAATTTACAAAAAGAAAGTGAGAGGCTGCAAACAGAACACAGATATCAAATAGTGCAAGTGTAAAGTGTATGCCAAGGTAGCTCATGTTTTACATAGATGGTTATAGGTAGAAGTTTGTTGAACCAACAGTATGTTTTTGGACTCTAAGAAGAAGCTACAGAACCTAGACGTCCCTCACACAAACACTGGACGAACCAAGGTGGGAACCTTTCCTGAGAGAAATGTGGGGGCTGCATTTGATGACTTCTCGAACTGCAAATGCAAGTTTCTTGGCAGTCACTAAGCCAGAAGTATGCAAGTAAAGCCTTTTCCAGAATATTTATAGGTGTTCCAGGTCACTGACCCACAGAGGGTCTTGTAACAAGCAAACATCTAGCATTTTTCTAGGGATGTCCACACCCCCATATTTCTATGTACTTTAAAAACCTTTTAGAGTGATACCGTTAGTAGCAACACAACATGGATATTAACTAGACTTATTTATTATACAAAAGGGGCCATCACCTGAACTCACTGTGAAAAGGAAAAATGCATTTTGTCCCAGATAGTCCTTTTTATATGCAACTGAACTACTGATCAATTGTATTTGTAATTCTTAATTATTTGTGATCATATTTGAGACTCATACAAAGAAAATAGTAAGAGAAATCAAACTGATCTTAAAAAACAAATCCTTAAGAATTGGGTTCCCCAGCGTAGACACCAGTGTTCATTAGTCACCGGGAATTGTCCGTGGAGCATTTATCTTGTGGCCTCCTGGTGCTCAGGACACCTGTATTGTCTCAGGTTTGTCGCTTTTCATCCAGTGCAATTCATCACTCACCCACATGGCCTGTCAGCAGCTTCAGCAGCTGTGATGATGACCCTTTGATGGCTTGACACTTTTATAAAATAAGAGAAGAGATTTTTTTGCCTTTTGACGTTGATAACCAAAAAAGACCTTAGTGTGTAAAAAACATTCAGGAGCTTGGTGTGATGTAAACCTGTCACATAGCATATGCCATAGACACTGATGAGATTTAATGTAAGTCCTTCACCAAAGTAACTGATCGGCTGCCTGTGAAGGCATAAGCATAGTAACATTCATAGCTCACGCTGATGCACTACAACCTGCCATATGAGTGCAAGCATTGTTTGTAATTTTACTGACAATTTACAAAGCCAGATGATTTTGCAGCCCAATGGTGAAGTGTAAATGGAAGTATTATTATGGCTTTATCTAGCAGTGTATGAGAGGTAAAGATTCATAGCAGACTGACATGCAAGGGAAGTAAAAAAGGCATGTATGTTTTTTGTTTTTTTTACAATCCCTCCGTTATTGCTCAACAGTTACAGAGGATTGTTTAAAAAAAATAAACAAAATTGGAGAGGTCCATGCAAGTATAAATGAGCACTGACAGCGGCACATTGTCATTATCACAATTCCACATGGCACTGACCAATTATGGCAAATGATGGTAAGTTTGGTCACCTAGGGGATGTGGATTTTTTTTTGTTATGTCATATATGGCCAGATTTTGTTTTTGATTAGAATACACATCCCCCAATTAAATTGAATGTTGGAATAAAATGTTTTTTTATCTTTCCTTAAGTTAAAGAAATCTATTAAAACACCTGAGATGCCATCAAAGCATGTTCGAAACTGGATCCCTAAGGTGCTGGAGCAGAGGCGGCAAGGACTGGAGTTGTATTTACAGGTAAGACGATGTCTTATGCCAGCCGTACACATAATGATAGAAACTATGTAAGTATCATTTTCGTGAAAGAATCCTAGCTTTAAGAAATTACCTCGGTAGTTCATTCAGTAAGTTACCTTTGGCATCATCCCTGACCTTATCTTAACCGAATTTGACCAAATCAATCTTTTAGGTTTGTGGCGTTGAACAATCAGTTTCAATGATTTTAATATATTAAAATATAAGGTCAATCAATTGTGTATTGTCATTTATATTGGCAGCATTAGGCTACAGCCACACATCAGTTAGATTTGATATCTCAGATAAGCAAAATTTGCCAATAACTATGTAGCGCAAGGGCTTATATGATCAAACCATTCATCATATATCCAATCTGGTGTGCATTCATGCTACATAGTTATTAGTAATCTAACAGATCAATGCTAAGGAAAATCTAGCTGGTGTGTGGCCAAAAATCGTTACCCTAAGGAGAACTATGACCCCATAGTTCTCCTTTAACAAACAAACTCATAGAAAAGATCTGTAGAATCCTGCAATGCACGCCCTCCTTTACAGTCCCCATTACACTGGATATTCAGTCCATTATCTATTCACAGATGTGAGCGGCATTTATTTCCAGAATTCATAATTTACTGCATTTAAGTCTTATTCATACATTGTTTAACAACTATTTTTTTTTTTAAAGAAGCTAACACAACAATAAGTATGTCTATTGCCTGTAATGTGTGATGTTTCAAGCAACAATAAAATGTGCTTGATGCATTTGTACTATTGGATATGTGTAAGGCAAATACAGAGGGGACACTAATAACACGTATATTGGGTCATTGGGTATAGTTATTTAAAACCTGTGCTTGTGATATAGAGTACTTCTGGCTCCACTACATTCTTTTTATAACTCTCATGGAACTTCAGCTTGGACCACTTATAACAAGCAGAGCCTATTTCAGTTGTATTGCTTTGGACAATCACTAGTGAATGGCTTCCTGCCATGTTATCTAACCGCACATTTCCACCTTAATTTTTATTTCTTATATTATTTTTATTTTGATATAGCCAAGATTGCATACACTTGTATATTCCTAGACATTACAAAATCATATTAAACAAGAAATAGGAACAGTGTTCCAAAATGAGAAATCCGAGTAACGTGTTGAGAACTATTAACTAGTAATGAGCGTGGAACTATTAACCAGTAGCCATGCAGTTGTGTCTCACATAAATGCATGATTAATTAGGATGATAAGTTATTATTGACAGGCAAGAATCTGGAACAGGGAAAGTGTTTAGAAAGAAAAACCAACAAAGAAGCAGAGAAGAAACGTTGTTGTTAGACAACTCCGACCATACTGCTTACACCAAAGAAAACCTAATAAATAGCTTTTGTTATTTTATTGATCTTTAGAAAACATAGCTGTAAGATTTTCTTTACCTAGCCTTTAACATCGTTGTGATGTTTGTTTTTGTGCAGCCATACCGCTGCTTTTTAAATGTGCCCCCATTAAATTACGGGGATTGGTGCCTTGGCATGCACTGTATGAAGGAGGAGCAGCATTATTGCCTTTCTATTTATGTTCCTTCTCTGCTGTGCAAGCCAATAGGGACATGAACAGGAGAAATGGGGAACAGGAGCAGCATTGTAGTGCAGCCCAATGCACCTTGGGAGCATCAGGTTGTCTACTGTGCACCGGTGCTCTCAGACACCATGAGCATCTGTACTGCAGTGATGTACGTGACTTAGAAGATATTATACCACTTTTTAAAGGAAACGTTTTTTGAGACATAAAAGACGCATTTAAAGTAGTATTAAACTCTCAATCTTTTTTTCAGTACTGAATCCAGATCAAACAAATATACATTGCTCAACAAAATATTTCTTTACCTTTTTGCCCATGTACTTAGTCGTCATGTTTCCAAACAGCTGGTTCCAACTCTCTCAGCTCCCTAAACTTTCTGTCCAGTACAAGATCACAGAGCAGACTCCAGCAGCTGTCCATCTACTAGCTTGGAGAAAAGAGAAAGGAGGAGGATTGAGGGAGGGAGGGGAGTGGATTGCCTTGCTGTACCTGTGTGTATGTGGAGATAATAAACAGCTTACTAGCACACACAAGGGTGGCTCCATAGGATGCACCGTAAAACAGGAAATTAGGGCCAGTGCCCAGGGGACCAGATGATTTTGCAGGAAACGAAAACGTATTTTTTTCCCATATACATTTTAAAGGTTAAATGAGTATAAACAAAATTGTCATGGACACAATGTACAACCGGTGGAGTCACATGTTATTGCAGACAACATAAATCAAAAGAAAAGAAAAAGCATACTATCACAATATAGTATAAGGCTAGTCTCATTTTGTAACCAAACAATAATAATGTCATTGAGTCCCCTAGGGAACCAAAGTGTCCAATGAGAAAATAAAAAGCAATTTGGATAAAAAGATTCCTAAGAGAGAGAAAAGAGAGAAGGAGAAAAATAAATGAAGTAAGGAAGAAAGGGGTAGAGATACAAAGAGAAGTAAAGAGAGAAAAAAAAAAGAGAGGGGGGGGGGGGGGGGGGGGGGGGGGGGGGGTAGGTAGTGTTGGGCCCAGGGAGACCAAATCAGTTCAAATTTAGGCATAGTATTTGTGAGCTTGGCTGTACGTTTTTCTTGTACCATGACCCAAGAGATGTGGTTCTTTACATTAGTTATGGTTAAAGAGGGTGATTTCCATGACTTGGTTATTTCTCTCTTGGCAGCTGCCAGTACATACAAACATATTTTAAAGTTTTATTGGGAAGTCAATCAGGTTGCCAATTAAGGAGAGCCATAGCTGGGTCTTTATTTACAGTTGTACCTCGTAGGACCGAGAGTATATGGAACACCTGATCCCAAGGAAACGAAAACTTTTAATCATCAAGGAGCAGCATCTATTGTAACTGACTATGTCTGCAGACAGAATCTGGAATAGTCATTAATGGGACAGTTTTGGTGTGTGCACAAGCTCAATTACTAAATTTCCATAGTCTTTTAGCTATCCGTCCTTGATAAATTTAAAAAATTGCTTGATCTAGTTTTTCTTGCAATTATCTGTATTGATTTCCTTTGCAATGCTGTTTAAATAGAAAAATAGAAGAAAAAATTGGAATAGTTTCTCCCTGCGGAGCCACATTTGGTTTTTCTGTGATAATGGAGGCTAAAAGCACATAACAGAGGTGAAGAGGAAACATTGAAGCTGAAGTCTTTCTGAATAGTAGTATCTGATCCTAGCAGAAAATGCCAGCCCCTTCAGGGTTCTTATTAAAAACTTTGAGCGTTGTCTTAAATAATATTAATGGCCCCGCTTGTAAGTACTTAACAGTCCTTTTCCCATACAGGTGAATGTATTGATTGATTTGGGCTCAGTACAGCGCTTCAGATTATACGACTGATTCTATTGGAGCCTTAACTTCTCTCGTTAAGTGTACGGTCTATCTTTAAATGAATCAAGATGATGATGTAGATTAGAGAGAGCAGAGGACCATCCATCTCTTTTTGATCAGTTAATAACTTGAATCCATCATTGTGTATATCAGCAGGACAGAGGTTATAGGATGAATTCACGTCTCTTGGAACCTCGAGAAACCCACCGTTGACTTCAGATTAGATAGTGCCGTAAAATAAAAAAACACGCATTCTGTCTTAGCAGTGCCAACAACAGACGTTTCTTATATTATAAATGAGTTGTCTGCTCAGCATAGTCATTGAATGGGACAGTTAAACTATTGAAACTGATCTGAAAAGTATGTTACATTTTATCTTGTACTATATTTGTGTGCTACACGTATTCATCATATACACCTGATCTCCTGTCTAGTATTGAATGCTGTAGTGGTGGCTAATTGCTTATTGTTGCTCTTTTTACTGCACCTAGTGGTTTTGTTAACTGCTAAGCTACTTAGTTGGACATATTGACTTCTGCATTTATTAATCCACCGTGATTTCATCTTAAAGTGGTTCTAAACCCTACAACCAATTTTACTGTCCCCACACTTTTACCCTTGCTGTCTTGTGACCTCATTTACTAGTCAAAGCTGTGTTATGGTTACTTGCCCACTGCTAGGATCTCAACACCACCACAGAAGGACGTTACACAGTCACTTTCAAAGGGTGACATTTAGGAACAGCAAGCCAGTTAGTGGTCTCTTACACGTCTACCAAAAAACACATGAAAGATCTTTCGTTCCAGTAAAGGTACCTAGCCACATCTCACAGAATGCCAAAATAGACCTATTTAGTCATTTTGTTAGATGTTTTGGGGAGGAAAGCCTCGATACCTTATCTGGAGTGAAGGAATTATGCCCTGTTTTGTGACCAAAGAGCATTGGGATTAACAGCTGCAAAATGCAACAAAGGTGATGAGCTCGATCCTTGTGGGCCATTTTCTCAACACGGAGATGGGGACACCTGTTCGGATGGCAACTGTTTATAAGGGGACTTCCCCTCATTATTGGGAGATTTCCTCTCACTTCCTGTTGTGTTTTTGGATCAGGAAATGAAGGGAAATCTCTCTGACTGGACACAAACAGCCCCAAAAAACCTGCCAGTCCTAATATTTAGATTTTACATATATATATTATTTTATAAATACAAGTATTTACTTACAGAATAAAGGGAATATTGTACACTGTCTAACTGAAATCTAGGGTAAAAATTAAAACATACCCAAACTCCCCTCTTTATCGCCTGTTAGGTATCCAAAAAGAGTCTGTGAGTAAAAGCATATTGGTGTGAAACATGTAATAGAAGTCGCGCTTTATGTACAGTATCCTGATATGCCTATTTGAAGAAATACGGAAGTCGCATATGTATTGTGGAGTATCGCTATCTATTCATTTATGTTATATTCACTAGAGGTGATCTGTGCTAGTACCCTTTAAGCGGATATAGGTGCACCTATCTGGAGCAGCGCTGATTTTGGATTTATATGCAAAAAAATGCTGTTGTTACCTTGCTCATTTTCTTAAAAGTTAACTTTTGTTT